CTCTCTCTCTCTCTCTCTCTCTCTCTCTCTCTCTCTCTCTCTCTTTTCTCTCTGTCTTTTTGTTTCTCTGTCTCTCTAAATCAAGCGGCTTAAATGCATGCGATTTGCAAAATTCGCGATAAATAAGCGCGTAAGTCGATTAAGCGAATTCAATAAATGTGTTTGATAAATTTTACAATAATCGTAGGTACACAGAATGGCTAAATACCAGAAATAATTTAGAGCTTTAGAGTGCCGAACGCGGAATTTTGTGTTTTTGTCCGGCTATTTCGTACGGCTCACACGGCTGAGGCAGAATGTCGTAGAAATTATGTTTGATTAATCGAGATATGCGCGAATTTGTTCCTCAATGTAGAGCTGCCATCGGACATGCACCTATATCGCGTGTGCGTCATTCTTTCCCTGCGTATACAGTGCTGAATAAAATATTTGAATTGAGATTATCTCACCTACTACGGACTATTACTACTACTGCTGCTGCTGCTACTACTACTACTACTGCTGCTGTCACAACTACACGTCCCGTGGAAGCGCGATAATTAATTCGTGGATCGCATGGGTAATCATCCGCTCATTAGCGACGTTCAAATAATTATTACGGCCGCCACGGTTTTCGATCTGCTATACTGCTATCTGTTATACTGTCGCGATTCGGACATTGTGCAGTTCGTCCTATGTAATACATCACGATCTAATACTATTAAGCGGCACGGCGCGCTCGACTGGCTCGCGCCGAACTATTTCCAGCGTAGATAAATTTCGACAATCAGCTGCGCGCCGTGAATTCTCGGGCAGCGCGCACGGAAATTCGCGTCCCCGCCATTTATATAATCGCGTTTTATATATCCGTTTATTCCCAACAAAAGGAAAATCCCCTCGATGAGTGAAATGATAAATAAAGCTGCGCGCTTTTTATCCCTCGCCGAGGGCCAGGCCCGGGGAAATATCGCGGGCTTTGCCAACGCAAGGAAGTATCGATCGCGAATTTATAACTCGGGACAAAGCCCGTAAATGAAACCGCCCGGAAAGCTCGATTGGACTCTCTCGACAGTCGTTTTGGCACGGCCACGATGGAGAGGGGCGAAAGGAGTTACAATCCCGTCTAATTTGCGGAACGCGGGATGTGCCCGCGGAGGGTTTGCCCCTTGAGTTCACCCATCTCTTTTCACCCGCCAAATTTACACGGATGATGCATCGCGCCTTAAAATAGAGGTGCAACGACTCCAAACGGAGATCTTGACATTGTCTTGGCAGCGCCGCGAAACGACTGCGTGTTTACCCTTCGTCTTAGAAGGAAAAAGAAGTAGCGAGCGCGGCGGCGGTGGTCAAAAGGGTGGGGGGGCGGAAAGGGGAGCAAGAGTTCGTTCGAGCGCAAGAATCGCGGCGATTTAACTGCCGGGAGCGTGCACGATCGCGCTAATTAGCGATATATGACGAATTAATTATTTTACAGATAAAATATACGCGCTATGCAAATTGGCGCGTCCGCGCCGCTAATAAAATGATTCAATCGACGACGTTTAAAATGGATTAAAAGTGTCGAGCGTTTATATAACGTGTATATACGTGTGTATACGTCGATACCGCTGCGGCAATCCCCGTTGTTCTTGTTAGTATTCTGACGCGCGGCCTCCTCTGGGAGTTATATTACTGTGAGAACGCGCGGATATATCGAGGCGATCGTATGACCGACATGAGGAAACCGGCGTCCGCTCAATCGCTGGGCACGCGTGGCTGAGTGAATAAGATTCTGGCATTCGAACTGAAAACCACGGCCAGAGATACAGAACTATATTATACATTAACTATATATATTAATTCGCGGGGTAGATCGTGCAATCTATTTATTAACTATGACGAGAGATCGTCATACGGCGAGTTCGAGTGAAGCAGAGCAGCGAAACAAGGCATCAATTTTCTTGGATATTTGACGCTCTCTCGACACGAACGAAAAGTGTATTTGCGAAGCGTTCGTTCCCGAGAGAAAAGGGCAGCACACTTGCGAGAATTGCGTTTAGGAATTTATCTTTACTGTCGAGTCTGGGACGTGTCGATGATAAGGAATGGAGAGAGGACTCGGTATATATTACTCGTACATCTCCATCTCCCGAAAACAAAACGAAAAGGGAAGTCCAGGAATCGAGTATGTTCAGACATCGTGACGTTATTCTACGGGAAAGGCGCTTCCACCTTATGAAGTAGCTGACGCAGCCTAAAGGGACACTACTGTGTCACAGAATAGACGATTTCTCAATCCCCTCCGCCCGCCATTTCGCGACATTCAGCTGTGTGCAGCGAAGAAATTGAGAGTAAGTTCTTTCCGCGTTGTGTGTTGCAGGCATGGAGCAGTTCGAGCAGCTGCTAACCTGCGCGATCTGTCTGGATCGATACAGAAATCCGAAGCTCTTACCATGCCAACACAGCTTCTGCATGGAGCCGTGCATGGACGGCCTCGTCGATTACGTTCGTCGACAGGTCAAGTGTCCGGAATGCCGCGCCGAACATCGTATACCGTACCAGGTAAGTTACTGCGGACGACCTCTCAGTCGTAGCAATATATATAACACGAACAAATAACGCGGTTTTACATCAAGAAACTTCGGAAGAATAATCTCACGCACCCGAAAAAAGGAACTCTACATACTGTTTTCTGTAATCCCATATTCTAAGCAAAAGCTCTCGAAATAGTATTTATAACATTGAATCTTCACTCTCTAATGAAGAGTGAACTATCCACACACACACAATCGGACATCTACAACACTCCGAGAAAAAAGCATTTCCAAGATGAGTCAGAAGGAAAGAGATTAGAAAATGCATTTACTTCTCTCTCTCTCTCTCTCTCTCTCTCTCTCTCTCTCTCTCTCTCTCT